GCAGAACATTCATTTACAGTGCAATTATTATGATTTTTGAATCATTTTATGGACACATATTTTTTTAGAATGCCTGACTGACAATAAAGGAACTGTGTTGATACTGATATTGATTTTTTTTCTTATACTCTTTTACTGCATCTTCTTATGACATCACAATTTTCTTGCTCTTTTTCTCTTATTGGACTTTATTTTTATGACTGTACAAACCTGTACCATTACTTATATAGCATTCATTGTTCTATCTCTTTCTTTCCCTTATTTTGACAATCTTATCCTGTACTAACTACGCAGGATTTGTCAGCGTACATTCCTTCCTTTATGTTCTTTCTCATTCTTTTTGCACAGCTATACTGTGCATAGCCTACCTTTCTTTTCACTATATAAACACCTGTATTTTACCTTGTAAAAACAACAAAAACTCGATTCCAGACTTCTTCTCCAATCTTAAGTCCACTTTTTACTGCTACTTGTGATCCAGTGTGGTCACAACACTTCCCACTGCTACTACTGTTAACTGCTGTCATTGTCACTCGTCACTCGTCACTTTTAAAGTCTTTATCATCCCTTTTGATTAGAGTCCTTCTGAGCACTACAGTTTGTGCGTCAGGAGACTGCTATCACTGGGAACCTCGTCACCTCTTCATCCTTGTTGTTCTCAAACCTACCTTGTGCTACAATTAGCAAGGTAGTGCTCATCTATACTCGTCACTAAGCCCCTATCTTCTATAAATTCAACTATCCCTCCTCCTCAAAACCCACACCCATACATCTCTGGGTTTTACTTTAAAGGATCTTTATACATACCACCCCACAAATAACCAGAGCACCCACTGTTCTAGGAAGCAAAGCCCATAAACAAGTTCCGTGGAATCTGGGAGAATTGTTTGTTGGTTTGTTTTTGTGTGTGGTTTTCTAATAACAATTCTCATCATTGACACCATGAGAATGATTATGTTAGTTTGATGACCCAGGGCGCCTCTGGGAATAGTATTTTTTGGTGGTGGACCCGCCACCTTGGTGCATTTTGTAGAGCTCTATGGCCTTACCAATCTTTCTAACCTCTTTTGCTGCTTGAGAGAGGTTATCACTTCTCATATCCTGCAGATAGAGCTGTTCTGCAATGTGGGGGTTCACATTGTGTTCCAGCAGCCCTACTGTGTGTTCAATACCTAAGCCCCCTTGGATGGAGAGGGCCAGGAACCAGGTAACATAGTCATCCGTCCTCATATTTCCTTATTTGAAGGAACGGATTTGCTAATGCGCCCAGTCACGCTCAGCTTGTGGTTTAAAATATTTCTTGATCTCCGCCTTGAGATCGTCCCAGACAGGCCACACTCCCATGGTGTAGCACTCCTGCATTTGTACTTGGGCATATCAACCTGCCACTGGTCCTTTTAGTCGAAATAGTACTGCTGTTGCTACCTCAAAGTCATTGGCAAATGCATCCCAATTTGCCTTGACCCAAATTTGTAGTTTGATCCACCACTCAGCAAATTGTGCTCTATCTTCTTCAAAGGCACTGGGGTCAGCAACAACTTCAACTTTTTTATTAAACTTTTCTCTGCCAAGGGGGTTGCTGCAGTGGGGTTTGCTTGCAGCTCAGCGAGTTGCATGGTCAACACCAGGATCTGCTGCCTCATGCTGTGCAACAAAGCATTAACATCAGGTTGGTTTTGCAACAACATATCAACTTGTTCTGTTGTAAAGTATAGTAAAGTAGAAAAAACATAACAGGGGGTCCCCGCTTGCTATCTGTGGATCTACCTCTTCCCTGCTGAGTATTGAATCTCAATCTCCAACTTCCCACACTATAGTATTTGAAAAATATATATATAAAAGTATTTATAATGAAACTCTGGTCCAAACGGTTGCCAAGGGGTGGCCCACTTATTAAGCTGTCAGCCCTTCTCCAGACTGGCGGAGGCAAGTGCCTGGCCCGGTCAGAGGAATATGGAGAAGAAGTTTTTGTATTCTAAAACTAATCAATAGTGGTTCCACACCAACTGCTGAGCTTAGGTACTCCTCTTCATGCTGGGGGCCACGTATCAAAGTTATTGTTTCTTCTCCCAAAGCACTACAAGGCCGTCGCTAGGAGTGCACCTACCTGCTATGCGGGATATTCCCAAACAAATAACAAAATCCCCTTAACCCTGGGGTCCAGGTTTGCACAAAGTGCAAGAGAGTAGTAAGAGCAAGTCCTAATGTTACAACCAGCAGTTTGTATACTCTGGCACACATTCAGACAAGCAAAGGAGCAATAATGGGGAGTGGTTACCCCTTGTGACAGGACCAAGTTAGTTGTGGGTAAACAACAGGAGGACTCACTGAGGAGTCTCCTTGATCTATTGGGGTTTATATACTGTTACAGGTTTGTTTGTACGTATATACTGTACAGTTTGCTAGAGGCAGTGGCTGATGATGTCATAGGGCCTAGCCCATATGACCAGTTCCACTGCATGAGAGAGTTTGTATCTAAAATAAGAAGAAGAGCAACGCAGTGCAAGAAAGTAGAGTTTGAACAAAAGGGAAAGTGCTGCATAGCACAGAGTGTGAAAACTACAGTAAAAGGTTAAAGTGGAGAATAAAAATTAAAGGAAAAGTCCAAAAATTGTGTTG